ACATGGGGACATGGGGGGACACTGGGACATGGGGGGACATGGGGACACGGGGACACAGGACACGGGGGGACACGGGGACGTGGAGGGGACACGGGGACATGGGGGGGACACGCGGACATGGAGGGGACACGGCAGGGACACGGGGACATGGGGGCATATGGGCACATGGGACACGGGGGGACATGGGGGGATACAGGGACATGGGGACATGGAGGGGACACGCGGACATGGAGGGGACACGGCAGGGACACGGGGACATGGGGGGGATACAGGGACATGGGGACACCGGGGGACACGGGGACATGGAGGGGACAGGGGACACGGGGACAAGGGAAGTGGGACAGGGACACAGTCTGGGGACGGGAGGGTGACAGGGTGGTGACCCGAGGTGACACGCCGCTCCCTGGCCAGGTGTCATCTGCGCATTCACCTTCCCCGTGCTCTACCGGCGCCACCAGGTACGGGGACACCGGGGACACTGCGGGGGTGGCCAGGCTGTGTGTCCCCTGTCCCCTCCCCGCTTTGTCCCCAGTTGTCACCCCCCAGCCTCCCTGTCCCCAAATTCCCCCCCCCCACGTCCCCAACTGTCCCCGTGTCCTCCCTGTCCCCAGGCCCAGATTGACCAGTACATGAGTCTGGTGAGGAGCCACCTGAGCCACCTGCGAGCCAGGTGAGTGTCCCCGTGTCCCCCTCCCCTCTGTCCTCCCCCCCCCGGGGGTCCCGGGGGGTGTCCCCGGCCCCCCCTGACCCCCCCCTGTGCCCGCAGGGTCCTGGCCAAGCTCCCAAGTGCCAAAGTGAAGCCGCAGTGACACCTCTGTCCCCGCCTGTCCCTCGCTCCGAGGTGACAGCGGGGTCACCTTGGGGACCCCACTCGGGGGGCGCGTCGCCCCCCCCTCCGTGTCCTTGTCCCCCGCACGGGGGGGGGTCACACTTTAATAAAAACTCTTGTGACAGCCAGGTGTGGTGGCGAGGGGACAGCGGGGGGGACGTCAGGGGGAACAGGATGTCCTGGGGGGCCGCGAGGACCCCCTGACGCGTGTCTGCGATTCGCCGTGTCCCCAAGTGTCCCCAAGTGTTCCTCTGTGTCCCTCTGTCACTGCGATTTGCTGTGTCCCCGTGTCCTGCTGTGTCCCCCCATGTCCCCCCGTGTCCTTCTGAGTCCCCAGTGTCCCCCAGTGTCCCCCCATCTTCCCCAGTGTCCCCCCGTGTCCCCCAATGTCCCCCCG